TTATTATTTTTATTTAAATATTAGTTTCTTTTATTTGTCTGTTTTTTTTTAGATAAATAAATATTATCCTCATGTTATCGTTAAGCGCGCATTTATATTTCGCAAATTTATAGAATACCTTCGTTTAAGATTACTCAAAAGATTGTTATTAGAAAAAGCTTAAATTTAAAATTATTGTCATCATTCATCGAAGGAACTTAAATTACGATTACAGTAATTGTAATTTTAAAAACGTTGAAATTACCATTACAGTGATCGTAATCTAAGATGCCTTCGATGAACGATTACCGCAATCCTAAATTTTGAAATTGCGATTTAAGTAATCGTAATCCTAGTTGCAATCGATTACACATGTAGTCGTTATCGCCCAGCTCTGATCGATAGCGCCATCGATAGTTTTGCACGGCTATTGAAAAATCCGGTTTAACTATAGTTCGTTGATTCTGAGTGTTATAAACAAGATGGGTCCACCAAAGAAGTCCAAAAAAGACCGTTTTACAGGAGATAAATTTGGTAAGTGAATAATGCAAGTTCATACATAATTCAATATCGTTTGGGTCCAGGAAAGAAGCGTCGTGCTGAAGATGAGGCATTTACTCAGTTAGTAGAGGATGGAGACTCTTTGACCTCCGACGGTGCCGCTGAGTTGGATGGAGTACCAGTGGCCGCATCAAAAAATGTGGAATCCAATGATGATGGTATAATGTCAGATGAGTATGGCGCCAAGGATTACCGTTCGCAAATGGAGTTAAAAATTGATCACGGAAATCGTCCATTATGGGTAGCCCCAAATGGACATATATTTCTGGAATCATTTTCCCCGGTCTATAAGCATGCTCATGACTTCTTAATTGCTATTTCGGAACCTGTATGTCGCCCGGAGCACATACACGAATATAAGTTAACGGCTTACAGTCTGTATGCAGCCGTTTCGGTTGGATTACAAACACATGATATTATTGAATACCTCAAGCGGTTGAGTAAAACTTCTATACCCGAAGGAATTGTTGAATTCATAAAGCTGTGCACCTTATCTTATGGAAAAGTCAAATTAGTGCTTAAGCACAACAGGTTTGTGTGAACTACTATCTCTACTCTTATGTACGTAAATTATGATTTACATTTCAATTACATGCATATGTAGGTATTTTATTGAATCTCCACATCCTGAAATTCTACAAAAACTCCTTAAGGATCCTGTCATTCAACAATGCCGCTTGAAACGCGACGAAGGAGAAGGATTCATTCAGGAAACTCTAGATGGAAAAGCAATTACGCAATTTGGAACTAAATTGCCGCCCGGCAGTGATAAATCTGCTGCAGCATCGAATAATAGCAGTGACCCTTCCGGGACTACCCCAGTAGCTGCAATACCTAACCAGCCTGATGGTACTGCAACCGTTCCAGAGGATATCACAAACTTTTACGATAAAATCGACAACGAAGAAGAAGATGAAGACGAAGCTAACCTGAAGACAGTATCATTTGAGGTAAACCAAGAAAAAATCGAGGTAATACAGAAGCGTTGCATTGAAATAGAACATCCATTGCTGGCTGAATATGACTTTCGAAACGATACTCACAATCCGGACATAAATATAGACTTAAAACCAGCTGCGGTTCTTCGGCCTTATCAAGAAAAAAGTTTGCGCAAAATGTTTGGCAACGGTCGCGCCAGGTCGGGAGTAATTGTCTTACCTTGCGGTGCCGGTAAATCACTTGTTGGTGTAACGGCCTGCTGTACCGTGCGAAAACGCGCGCTAATTCTTTGCAACAGTGGTGTTTCCGTAGAACAGTGGAAGCAACAGTTCAAAATGTGGTCCACCGCAGATGATAGCATGATTTGTCGCTTTACATCTGAAGCCAAAGATAAGCCCATGGGATGTGGCATACTTGTGACAACTTATTCGATGATAACGCATACGCAAAAGCGATCTTGGGAAGCTGAGCAGACTATGCGCTGGTTGCAGGAGCAGGAATGGGGCATTATGGTATTGGATGAAGTACATACTATACCCGCAAAGATGTTCAGGCGGGTGTTGACTATTGTACAGTCTCATTGCAAACTGGGTCTGACAGCGACATTATTGCGTGAAGATGATAAAATCGCAGATCTGAATTTTCTCATCGGACCGAAGCTTTATGAAGCGAATTGGTTAGAGCTACAGAAAAAAGGCTACATTGCGAAGGTGCAATGTGCTGAGGTATGGTGTCCTATGTCCCCAGAATTTTATCGTGAATACCTAACAACGAAAACATCAAAAAAAATGCTTTTGTATGTAATGAATCCGTCCAAGTTTCGCAGTTGTCAGTTTTTGATAAAATACCACGAAAAGCGAGGTGACAAAACAATTGTATTCTCGGATAATGTTTTCGCTCTCAAACACTATGCTATAAAGATGAACAAACCTTTCATTTATGGGCCCACTTCACAAAATGAAAGAATTCAAATTCTCCAAAACTTTAAATTCAATCAAAAGGTAATTAATCATAATTAACCTATTACCTTGCTTTATTCTATCAAAGATCCTATTGCAGGTCAATACAATATTTGTATCGAAAGTTGCGGACACAAGTTTTGACTTGCCCGAAGCAAATGTACTTATACAAATATCCTCACATGGCGGGTCCCGACGTCAGGAAGCTCAGCGTTTAGGCCGTATTTTGCGCGCCAAAAAGGGTGCCATTGCTGAGGAATATAATGCATTCTTTTACACACTCGTGTCCCAAGATACTCTGGAAATGAGTTATTCGCGCAAGCGTCAACGGTTTCTGGTTAATCAAGGTTACAGCTATAAAGTAATAACCCATTTAAGTGGAATGGACACTGATCCTGACCTAATGTATAAATCTCGCGAGGAGCAATCGCAGCTGTTGCAACAAGTGTTGTCGGCCTCAGATTTGGACTGCGAAGACGAGAAGGTGCCCGGCGAACCAGGCTATCGACCGAGTGGGGCAACAGCATCCAAACGTTCTGTTGGCCTAAGTTCAATGTCAGGCGGCGATGATGCCATTTATTATGAGCAGCGCCGACGGAATGCAGGCGCAGTACATCCACTTTTTAAGAAGTTTAGAGGTTGAACGTTATAGAAATTATAATAATAAAAAAAGGTTGTTTCGTTAAAAAATTTTTGTAAAAAGGACGTTACTTCCTTATCATTTGTTTGAGGGTTGGAAGAAATAATTGCCATACGTATTCACCCTAATGCATTAATATAATTATATTAATTTTAGGAAAAAACTAAATGTTTGTCTTAGCGACTTTATTACAGATTCTAGAATTCAACGTCTTCAAAATTTTAATGTCATTTTACTTTTTGGTGGATAACTTAATTTAAAGCTGCTGTGGTCTTTGCGCTCTCATGGCGTATAGCATTAATTAATTCATAGTTCACCAAAAAAACGAAGCGCAAACTGCAAATCTATAAAAAGTAATTTTAGCGCAATTTCCTAAAATCATGTACATGTAAAGATATAGCTCACCTCGACCACACAATTGTTGGCTAGACGTGTTTTGTTTCCAGTTAACAATGGAACACCATCGATGAAGATAGGTCTTTTACCTTCATTTGCTATGAAGAAATCGCCATTGCTTCGTAGTTTTATTGTTCCTTGGCGGCGCGAAATTTTGCATGCTGGTCCTTCTAATGATAGGTCGACATCGACGTGCGAATCTTCAACAAATCGGCCAAATGTAATTTCTTTAGAACGCATTAAATAACGAACAAGCCGTCCTCTAAGTACTGCCAAAGTTTGACCGTCAAATTCTGGTGGGGAAACACCAGTCACAGAATCGACTAAAACATTCCAACGGCTCAATTCATTCTCTAACAAGCGAATTTCACGTTTATTTTGACGATCAGTCAATGCCAGCTCAATCTCTAACGCTTCGTCCCGCTGGTCATTAAGCTCTGCATCTAGTATGAGATCTTCAGCATCTGAAAAACTTAAGGGTTGATCACTCATATGTAATGGTTTTACCACCTGATCTGGAAGCAACTGATATTGCTTCATCATCTGCCAGTGATTCTGTAGAGATTTAGCTGTTCGTGCAGCATAGAAAATAGAGGCATTTTTATCCAGCAGTTCTTGAAACTGCTCGAGTTTTGGGCTATCCGTCTAAAATAAAACGATATTGAATAGCGACTACATCCATTTTTTTTTTAATTCTGCGATGCTTACACTTTTTAAAGTTCCTAGCAGTTCTTCTTCTTGCACACTAAAAAGAGCCTTGCTTTGAACTGATTCTATTAGTTCCGGGTGCAGGTTGCGCATAGCAGCTACAGCAATGCGTGAAATTGCTGGCTCGTATAACAAAGAGAACCAACGGGATTGCAGTTCCTGTAAAGTAAATTTGCAGGAGAACTTAACCCCACGATGCACCATCCGCAAGTCGTTTGTCTGTTGTATGCCAATAATCAAAGCCAGGTCATCAATCGGTTTCCAGCGGCCCAAATCCTTAGTTGTAATTTGACTTGGAGGACGTCCGGATTTCTTTGATTTCTTATTAACACTAGAACGAGGTGGTCGCTTCTTATCTGCAGCAAGTGAAGTTGAAGAACGCTCCATTGAAGGCGATGTTTGCGTTAGTATAGTCGGTTGTGTAGGAGGTAATGTTGTGGGGGCTGCACCAAATGAAATGCTTCCGCTGTTAGTGGAAGAGCCAGATACTATTGGGGGAGCTTCTCTAACGAAAGAAACTGGAATTTCAGTAGGATTGCATGCGGGAACAGCAGATTGCAGTATTGGTGTCGGTAAGGCTTGTGTCTGTCCGGAGGTTTGAGAAATAGTACGTTGCCTGCCGGCTTTTGGTTCGCTTCGAGATTGTGGAAATCCGATGCTGTACTCTACAATTTCGTCGTCGAAACGCTTTCGCTTAATTGACCGTGAAGAGCTACGAGCAGCAAATGATTCAAAATTAATTACATTTACTACAACGTATTCAATCAGGCTCTGCAATTCACTTCCAAATCACAGAACCTGCCTGATTAAATTTATTTACCTTCTGCGTTTTTGGTCGTTCTGCAACTCAATTGGTAAATTCTGCAATGGTGTCGCCGGAGTGGGAATAGAGCTTGTTGTTGTTGCATTTATTGTGGTAGCAGACAAGTCGGATATTTCTTCTACTTTTTGAGAATTGACCTTAGTAGACGTCGTATTTGTATCCATGGCTACCCCCGGTTGAAAAACTACCGCCTATTACGACTTATTTTCAAATTTTCAATCGTAAATACAGCACAATATTTATTTTTAGTATTAAGAAGCAACACAGAATTCTCAACTACGAAAATAGGTACATATAGGGATGAAACGATACGAGTAAATGAGAGTACATACTCGATACTTTTCCGTTCGATACAAAGTAATTTTGGTATTGATACTTTTGAAGCAAGTACTGAGTAGGTATTGTAACAAATACTCGTATCGAAACCCGGCTTCGGCGATTTTTCCTACACTGTTTGAAAATGTGCGAACAAAATTGAGAGCTCTACTCGACAGTTCAATTTGTCGCCTGGGTAAAAGATTGTCGTAAGCGCAATTTTGACGATTTTTTGTTCTAGATTCAGTTATATATTTTGAAACAAGATCTTTCGATTGGTGTTATCAGTTTTTAGATATCTCCTTTGGTCTCCGAGGTATTGCCTACAATTTTTTCGATTATTTAGTAAAAATGTAGCTGGTGATGCAATCGAAGTAAACTCATTAATATCTTCAAAATGGAGTTCTCCATTTGTGGATATCTCCTTTAGTTTCCGAGATATTGAGTAAAAAGTGTCGTTAATTTGGTAGAAATTTTGATCGCATTTTGTCGTATTTCATACAAAGTGGCTGGCAAAATGTGGACAAATGACGGTTACGACAAAATTTTACTAAAGAAAATCCTTCATAAACTCAAAACTAATTAACAATAAACATTAAAAATTAAATAATTTAAGAATTGTGTGAACTCGTAACATTTTCTGAGCCTTTGGAAAAAATCTTATTTTTGCGTTTTTGGGAAATTGCATTCCAAACTTCAATCGCGATTTCCCACAACCTGCCGAAATTAACATACGACAATCTTTTACCCAGGCGACGAATTGTAAAGTGTGTGTGTGTATTTGCTTGCTCTAAGTTACTCCATCAAAAAAGCTGGTGCAGAAAATCGTGCTCTAAGTTGCTCTAGTACCTCTTAGCTCAGACTTATGAAATAAAAATAGAGTAAGTTAGAGCAAGGTGTGATCGACAACTCAGGTAGGCTCTATTTTAAGGTATTATTATGCCAAAAAATATAAACAATCGATTCAAAATTCATACATTTTTTTTTTCAATTTCACTTTATAGGATGGTTCTCCTGAGAGCAAAGTCAAATTCAATGACACTTGGTTGAATGCATTTTGAGTTAGAGCAAGAAAAATCCTGATGAAACACGATCTTGTGAGATATCGAGATATATTAACCTGGCGTAACCTAGAGCAGCTCATTAAACTTTACTAAATAATTTTCAGGTTATCGAACAGAGCAAACTTAAAATGATATTTTTGTCACATCTGGCAGCATTAGTTTCCGATGACTGATGAAATATCAACGTTTTTATTTATTTTTTGCGTGAAAATCGCAGTTTTGCTGGAAAAACTCAATTGAATTGAGTTTGATCTGAATAATTAAATAGCACCGTAGATCGGAAGGTGTTTCTTTACTACGAAAAGAGAAATGAGGTAAGGAATCCCAATACGAAAAACGAATGCTTTTGTGCAGAAATACACCACTATACATATGTACGTTTGTACATATGTTGAAAAGGAAATCTCCAAATGCTGATTAATCGATTGGAATTTAATGCGAAAATCTATATTTAACTATGTTTTTGTTTAACAACTAAAGTTTGTGGTTTATTCCTAGTTTGCAAATGGAAAGTCCATTAACGGACAGCAAAATGGATATATCTGATACTACAAATTCACAAGGCTCAGCAGGGATTTCGCCTCTTGGTGAAGATGATGATCCCGATGTCTCCCAGTCGCCAACACATAGCAACCACAACATCCATGAAGTACTTATAAAGGAGTCTAATTTGTTAACAAATGGCACAATAAAGGGAGAAAATTTAAAATCTGTGAATGCACCAACATCTGATCTAGATAACAGATGTATTCGATCAGGCGCTTTGCAATTAGAGCTAATACCGCAGCGTCAGAATATTGAACGAACACTTACGGACAGCCATCCATTGATGTCGCCTACGGGATCAGAAAACGATCAAAGCTCAACTAATTCGGTGACAACAAATAACGAAGTAAAGCGTAATAATTTCCCTGACGTGGTGCCACAATATGAACATGTGCAGTCGCCCCTGCAACATAATGCAATAGTGGAGCAAAATACAGTGAACCATAATCGTGGCGCCGCTTTGACATCAGCTCCAATGCACAATAAGCTGGCGTATTTACGTGCCCACAGTCCCGATCTTTTGAGTAGCGAATCTGAAGCAGATGTTTCGCAGTATCATGCTGCCGTTGAAGCCAACTTTCAGACGGTGGCCCTTATTCAAACAGCAAGTAGTGATACTCAAAAAAACGTACGACGATTTCGAAAAGGTGCGCCTAATTGTGGTAATGCCGGGGACGATATCTCATCCTTGGATTCGATTTCGAATCACAGTTTCGACGATGATGAAGATATCGAACATAATTTGGCTTCCCTTAGCCCATCGAGTTCCTTAATTGATGGACTAGATGATGATAGTGAAGATGGTGACGTTGGCGTTGTTAACTGCATGGACGACGACGATGAATTTGCTGAAGCTGTAACCCCAACTCCACACGGACATTTATCGGCGTTAGCGGCAGATATAAATGCAAGATCTGGTCAGTTGCCGCAGTACTCAGCAGCTGAGGAAAGGCGCGATTCTCGAAACTGGCAAAAGATAACATTGCCCGATGGTCGTACCAGAGAAATAGATATGCGCGTAATCGAGCCTTATAAACGTGTTCTATCGCACGGTGGATACCTGCAAGCAGGAGGGCATAACGCTATTGTAATATTTTGTGCCTGTCATTTGCCTGATCGATCGCGTGCTGATTACAGCTACGTAATGGATAATTTATTTCTTTACGTAGTTAAGACCTTGGAACAATTAGTTACAGAGGACTATGTGCTTATTTATCTTCATGGCGGTACAAGTCGTCGGAACGTGCCACCATTTCCTTGGTTAAAAAAGTATGAAATGCCTAAATAATTTTAGCTTTGAATCTGCAACTAATGCATACATACATACATACATACATTCACAGGTGCTATCAACTGTTGGATAGGCGTTTAAGAAAAAGTCTGAAAAATATGTATTTAGTGCATCCAACATTTTGGATAAAGTCTATAGTATGGATGACTCGACCCTTTGTTAGGTAAGTATATCATCAAATTTAAAAGATAAACTAGAGTGTATGCAAAAATCAACTTTTGCTTTCAGTGCAAAGTTCTGGCGCAAATTAGTTTATGTGAAATCATTGGACGAACTCGCTAAGCACGTTGTTGTGGAGAAAGCTGCCATACCTGAAAAAGTCAAACAATACGATGCGAGACATAACTAAGCAAATTTCATGAATTGGCTATTTGTCCTTCCTTGGCTGGTAACTCAAAATTTGGACAATAGGCAAAGAATACTGCAACGTTTCTTGGCACTTATTCGATTGTTAGGACAGACTTTAAGATGATCTTTTTCGTTCGTATTCCTATATAATTAATATGAGTATTCATGAAAACGGGTAAATGCCTCGTAACCGCTTAGACCTCGTAAATAAACCGATTTGCCATACAAAATTGGGTAAGTTTACGAGGTTTACATGGTTATGAGACATTTACACGTTTGGTGGCACCATTTTTAGTTCCAGATGATTAGTGGGCATCATTTAGGACCATTAAAAAAGTCATATTCTTGAGTTGCGTAGAAAATTAGAATAATTAAGAGTGCTATTTTCGATATTTTAGGTTAAAATTATTAACAAATTTAATTTAAATTTTACTAATATTCCGCTTATTCAGTGCCTAATGACTTCAAACTAAACATGTTGCTCATTTGCGGCGTTGATTTTACACCGTTCACGATCTCAAATTTCTTTACTATCGTATTGTGATATTTTCGCATTTATTCGTTTCGTTTTTCTCCCCTCTAATAACATTCGTATAATTTTGGTAAATTATAAGCAATAAAAATTGCACTTTATAGATAAAAGTAAGGCATGTGTATTCGCCATTTGCAAGGGCTTTAGTTAATCTTCAACGTTGGCTTACTATTAAGGTAGTGAGAAATTATATCTACACGAAATATCTCATAAATATCCGCATAGGAAAAATATGTACATCGAATATTTTGTAGACTGGTATGTAACGCGCTTAGACAGCTGGTCAAATTGACAACAACATGAGTATTTGCATTAATCTTGTGCTTTGGTTTCTATAGACTTAAGGAACACACAACAGCTAATATTTCACATTTACATTAATCGGTACAAAATGGGAAAGAACGCGAGTCGACTGTAGTAGATAAACGACTATTTGCCGATTTTCTATTATCCATAGTATTTTGAATGCCGGTTTTTCGTTCAATAGGTGAGTATGAATAGTTTTTAGGCGCTTATACTTCTACAAAGCTTATTGAACGAAAAATCGAAATTCACAATACCATGGAAAGTCGATAATCGAATAACAGTCGTTTATCTACTACTAGTCGACACTCGCAATAGGGGTGACATTCTTAAATTTTTGTTTCTGATGTTATGCATTAAAAACATACATACATATCGCACATTTGTTGCTTATATAGAGAGCAAAAATTAAATAAAATATAAGAGGAAAATAGCCAACTTACAAGAATCGTTATATGTAATATATGTATGTTCGTATGATAAGCGTATGATTTGTATTAAATTTTAGAAGCTTTTTGTAATCTTTTTAGTTGTTTGGCAAATCAATTCGTTGATTTGCTCAATCGTTTGTATTTTCAAACGCAGTTAACCATTTTATATTTTATTTCCAGTTAGTTTTCCATAAGTATACGACCTGCTCGTTCATTAGTAAAATACGTATTTAGTACAGCAATTTTTGTAATGTTTATATTAAATTATGTATGTACGCGTTTGTAAATGTTGTTTTTCGAAAGTCATAACTATCATATCCATTAAATTTGTTATTAGACGTAATATAGTAATCAGTGCAACCTCATACCACCAACTTTGCAACTTGAAAACTCTACTTGTTACCTAAATCCACATATTTTCTAGTATTTAAGAAAAAATGTATGCAAAATATTAACTAAAAGCATAAATATGTACTATGTAGGCAGTGGAGAAAGCGTACCGCTTTAGATACTTTATGACCTTTGGATTATGTGTATAAAGTATTGCATATGCTGTATAAATATAAGATATATACATAAATATGTATGTCTATGCATTCCCAGACTTATTTGATATGCAAAAACATGCCGAGTATTTACTTAAATGATAACAAAAAAAAAACAGTGGTAACAGAAGCGAATATTCAAATAAATCTATAATTACCCTATTGATATTATGATACACAAAAATGAAATATCAATGCTTACAATTTATTTTGTCTCGGCTAAAACCTTGTGAAATTGTTTTATTTTTTAGTTAATAATCGTTAAGTTTGTTAATCGTAAAAGAATATAATTTTTAATACATATTTAGGCTTCTTTACGAAAGAGGTATAAAGGCAGGCAAAGCGCCCACCTTAGGGCGAAAAGACACTGGAGGCATATCATCGATTTCTGAATGAGTATCTGGGTCTTTCTTTTCATCAGCTTTATGGACTTCACGTGCTTCACTCGGCGCTATATTTGTGTCTTTGTCAGTGAAGTATCGCAGCGGCACTGCAGAACTCTCATGGCTGCCCGGACCGGGGCTTTCCTTTATTCGAGCTGTCACCCCTGCTTTGTTGTGTTGGCTTGGTTGCTCATTCAGACGTTTCCGTTTGCGATTCTTGCAATACACACAACTCGCCATTTCGCAATTTCCACTGCGCTCATATTCTGGGCACACGAATTCGTGGCGTTTGTTGCACTAATAAAACAAAAACAAAAAAA